GGAATAAAATTCCTAGCAAAAAGGACAACTCATACAGATGATACAAGCGCAGTATCAGAGGCTGTATCAGTCATTTCAGAATCACAAATTCTTAGGGTCATCCTGGAAGCTCCTCCTTTCCTCTCCATTCTATCACATTCTACTACAAGACAAATGCCAGACTTAGAGGGTATTTACGAAACAAAGAAAAGGGTACTAATAAAGCAGACTGTGTATTTGTGTTTTAAAATTATGATGACACAAAGAGTCAATCTATATTTGTATACAAACGTCCATTCATGGCTACAGAACCAAACGGTTTTCAGTTATATTCTGATTTTCAAACAATCTAAACATACTGTCTTCTTACAATCACCTTAATTGATTAGGTGCTGAATTTTGCCATACTCAGTCATAGCCATGGCATAAAAATCCCAGACCCAGACATCATTTTTTTATCAAATGACAAACTTGTTTTAAACTGCAGTATCTAACTTTATAAGACCAAGTCTGAGCATATATTTAATTTCATAATGACAATTATAAAATAATCATGAACCTGAAGACATCAGTATTTGTCCAAGGTATCAAGAAGAGGCTTATGGAAACACAGTGGAAGTACGCCAGTACCGTGGACACCAACAGAAATGGAAGTGGCATGGATTAAAAAAGAATTTGCCTATTTGTAATGGTCTTTTACTAATATCGAGCCTGCAACTTAGTATATTTGGATAAGTGATGATGACTTGGTTTTACAAACACAGATTATTCAAATAGAAAGTAGGCAGAAGGCTGACGCCATCCTAGAAGGTCAGAGCTTTAGACCTTTGTGGGGCGGGGAAAGAATTAAAAAATAAAGCTCTGTGGGCCACAGAGATGAACAATATGGCGATACCGAAGTCACTGCAACATTATTTATCTGTTTTCTTCTGAGTATGATTTCTAATCTTCAAGAGTTTTTTGTTTGCAAGTTAAAAAACCAAAAACTTTTCCATTTTTTTTCTATCTCCCTTAGAATGTAACCTCTGAGAGATCAGGACTTGCTATTGTATGTTCTTTTATCCCAACTTGGATTTCATTATTTTATAAATCATGAGCTCTTTAAGAAGCTGACATTTGACGAGTAAATTCAACTAACTCAGGGTTTAGTTTTAAAGAATAAGCATTTATTAAATCTCTATTATTCACAAGGCATTGGATCAAGTGCTAGGGAGACTACACGGGTGATAAGTACATAAAAAATAGCAACTCCAGCCTGAGAAACACAATGAGACCCCATCACTACAAAATATAAAAACATTGGCTAGGCACAGTGGCACCCGCCTGTGGTCCCAGCTACCTGTGGTCCCAGCTGGGATGGGAGGGAGGTCAAGGCTGCAGTGAGCTGTGATTGTGCCACTGCACTCCAGCCTGGGCAACAGAGCGAGACCCTGTCTCAAAAACAAATAAATAAATAAATAAAAACTGATGAAACATACTATTTCCTCCTTTTGCTTATCTGTCAAGAAACTCAAAGCTAAATTTCTTGTTCAATTGCAAGAACCATTTTCAGACTAGATTTTCTATAATTCTCTTTTATTACAATGACTGGTTTTTAAGAATTGGAAAAAAGTGTATATGTAACATAGTAAATAAGTCTGAGTCAGGATAAAGTGAGTTAAGTGCCACAAGAAAAATCACAACAGAGTGCACTGAGGATTCACAGGCCGAAAGGATTGTAAGCAACAAGACAGGAGGTGAGTTTTCCAGGAAAAGGACATTCCAAGCTAAGAAGGCAGATGGGCAAAGGTACAGAGATGGGAATGTGTAAGATACTTGAGAGAAAACAGTTCAGATACAAGGAGGTTGAAACAGGAGATGGGTCATTCATTCATGTTGTTTCATTAATTCTAAACACAAAAAATCAACCCTTCTCTACTAAGGATCATATTGGCACGTTGTTCACATACGTGACATTTTCCCCATAAGCAAAGTAACAGTATCTTCCTCTTACGCATTAGTGAGATCAAAGACTGGAGATGACACGACCACTTAATTTCAGTACAGACACAAGAAGCAACCATAAATCATGAAGAATGAATTAATGAATTTCATCAAGTGAGCACTCAATAAATACTTGGCAATTGTAGTCATACAGATCACTAAGACTTGTATGCATTTTTGTTTTATGAACATTTAAGCTTTTACAATGGCCCCCATATTGTCTGTCTTCTCTATTGAGCTCAAAACAATTTGTTCTTTGGGGGTCAGGATCTGTTCTTTACACTTTAAAGATGAAAAGACTGAAAAATTACAAGGAAAATGAATTGTGTAATGATCATGGAACTTAATAGACAAAAGAAACGAAATGCCCCATTATATATATGAGGGAAATGCAAAGTAGAATCTGTGGGTTCATGCTGAAATATCAAAATTAGAACAGCTAATCAAGTGAGAAAGTGTGACTAGTTCAAGAGTTAATCACAAAGTTCTCCATTGCCCATATTACGATTAAACTTGTTTCTGGAAGCACGGATGATATAAGAGCAGAGAGGTTAGGGATACTGGAGAAGGGTAGTGAACTAACACAGAAAGTTGTCTAGTCAGTTTTGTGTGGTTGCTCAGTTGCCACAGCCCTATGTTTTTCAAACTGCAGGTCACAATCCATTAGTTGGTCATGAAATCAATTTACAGAGTCACAGCTAGTATTTTCTAAAATGTCTGTATCAGCCGGGTACAGTGGCTCACGCCTGTAATCACAGCAGTTTGGGAGGCTGAGGCAGGTGGATCACCTGAGGTTGGGAGTTCAAGACCAGCCTGATCAAAATGGAGAAACCCTGTCTCTACTAAAAATACAAAATTAGCCAGGCATGGTGGCGCATGCCTGTAATCCCAGCTACTTGGGAGGCTGAGGCAGGAGAATCGCTTCAACCCGGGAGGCAGAGGTTGTGGTGAGCCAAGATCAGGCCATTGCACTCCAGCCTGGGCAACAAGAGCAAAACTCCATCTCAGAAAAAAAAAAAAAGTCTATATCATTTAGTATTGTTTCATGAAACATTTATTTGAGTTAATATCAGGTACAAATATATAAACATATGTTCTGGGTCAGACTCTGCAAACGACCGCAGCCCTAGTCAAAAAAAAGTTGTTTGAAAGCCATTGCTGTATTCTTCCCCATTGGGAAGTTAGGCTTGGGAGTCAATAGGTCTGAGACTCCAAAATGCAACTTAATCAAGAATTTCAGTACAATTGAAATTGTGACTGCAAAGATTACATTACAACACATTATTATGAGAGGGTATTGTGTCGTACCTGTGATATTTCTATATCGAATAGGTAAGAATTTATGAACGTAATAATTTCTGCACAGTTGTTCTAATAGTCAATGCTAGGTAAATGGTTTAGATCAACTGTTCTCAACTTTTTAGTCTCAAGACCCCTTTATACTCTTAAGAAGTATTATTATTATTATTTTGAGACGGAGTGTTGCTCCATTGCCCAGGCTGGAGGGCAGTGGCGGGATCTCAGCTCACTGCAACCTCTCCTTCCTGGGTTCGAGTGATTCTCCTGCCTCAGCCTCCCAAGTAGATTACAGGTGCCTGCCATCATGCCCAGCCCATTCTGAAAAATTATTGAGGGCTCCCTCAAAGAACTTTTGTTTATATAAGTTATATCTACCTATATTTACCATATTGGAAATTAAAAATAACTTCAGAGAGGCTGGGCACAGTGGCTCACCCTGTAATCCCAGCACTTTGGGAGGCTGAGGTGGGCAGATCACCTGAGGTCAGGAGTTTGAGACCAGCCTGGTCAAGATGGTGAAACCCGGTCTCTACTAAAAATACAAAAATTAGCCAGGGGTGGTGGTGAGCGCCTGTAATCCCAGCTACTCAGGAGGCTGAGGCAGGAGAATCACTTGCTCCTGGGAGGCAGAGATTGCAGTGAGCCAAGATCACACCATTGCATTCCAGCCTGAGTGACAGAGCAAGACCTCATCTTAAAATAAATAAATAAACTTAAAAAAATATGTAATTCATTTATTAAAAATAACAATGATCTTAAATATAAATCCATTTCTATGAAGAATAATTTTTTCCAAAATAAACATTTAGTGAGAAAAGAAGCATTCTTTTAAATTTTTGTAAATATCTTTAACATGGCTGAATAGTAGACAACTAGATTCTCATATCTGTTTCTGCTTATAATCTGTTGCTATGTAGACAACTAGATTCTCATATCTGTTTCTGCTTATAATCTGTGTTTTGTTTGGAGTATATGAAGAAATGCTGGCTTCTTACAGATAACGTAGTTGGAAAAGAGATGGATATTTTAATAGCATTTTTCAGACAATTGCGGATATTCTTCTTGGATAATATACCAAAACTTGACAAGCTGGAGTTTCTCAAAGCTTAGCTGCCATGTACTGTCTGAAATCCTATTAACTTTTTATTCTGTTACATTAAAAATCCATTAGTCCACCTTGTCCTAGAATGGATCTTTTGCCTATGCATGATTATGTGGCATGAGCCATTGGTCATTTGGAAAATACTGGATCACTGAGTTAAGCAGATCTTTCAGATATTGACACTTTCCATTATACAATATTTGTTAAAATTGCATTCACTATCACCCGTGATCTCATCAGAAAAAAAAAAAAACACATTAACTATTGAGAAGCTGTCAAGCTCATGGCAGTAGATACACTTTTCCTAAACTTTTAATTCTGGCTTGAAGGCTTAAAAATTATCATGGGCAACAGTAATTGTCCCTTGTTTTCCTGAAAGTGACAGGCATACTTTATATATTTTCAGAAAAATGTCAAGTACCTGTTTGAATAACCATAGTTTGCCCATCTTTCTTTCAAGTAAAAATGTTTTATGAAAATAAAAATAGAAACATGAATTCAGCCTGCAACTCAAGCACAGAAGTATTTTCCTAGAGACAAATATGACACACTCCGGTGTGCATCAGACGAGTTTTATGCCTGTTTCCTTTTTTTAATGCAGAATATTAAAAAGAATTGTACTCAAGGATTAAGCTTCAATAAAATTAATAATTTTTAGTGCTTATGAAGAACACCATCAGGTGACACTGGCTCCAGCTTCTTCTTTTTTTTCTTTTATCTTTTTAACTGAGAAGGCAGTTAGTGACAGGTACTTTGACTAACAATGCAGTTTGGTGCCCCTGCCTTAATTGCGTTAAGCCACCAGCATTTTTTTTTTTTTTTTTTTTTTGAGACGGAGTTTCGCTCTTGTTGCCCAGGCTGGAGTGCAATGGCGCGATCTCGGCTCACTGCAACCTCTGCCTCCTGGGTTCAGGCAATTCTCCTGCCTCAGCCTCCCGAGTAGCTGGGATTACAGGCACGCGCCACCATGCCCAGCTAATTTTTTGTATTTTTAGTAGAGACGGGGTTTCACCTTGTTGACCAGGATGGCCGGGCGCTGTGGCTCACGCCTGTAATCCCAGCACTTTAGGAGGCCGAGGCGGGTGGATCACGAGGCCAAGCCAAGCATTTTTAACCACCATTGTCTGCAAAACGTCATCACAGTGAACAAGTCAAATAAGTACGTCTTAGTTTTGTCATAAAAGGTTTTTTTTGACCTTGCAGATCCCCCTAAAGGGTCTCAGAAACTCTCAAGGGGTTCCGGGACCACACTACAGTTTTAAGAACCACTGGTGTTAGCGGATTCGGAAATCAATTCAGTTTTTTTTGTCTTCAGAGTTCTTGATGCTCCAGGCTTATTTATTGTTATAGGTTTGATCCCTGAAGCGCCAAAGAAGAGATATGCCAAGGCGTGGAACATATTCAAGAAGGAAGTCCTACCGCGCATACAGCTCAAGCTCAGGCGCGAAGAGAAATAGCTCTTGGAGAAAGAAACTGGATTCAGAGGGCAGGCCTGGGCTTGTCGTTGCCAGTGGCAACGATCCTCAGCGGGCGGGGCGCGACTATCGATTAGTGAGGCCTTGGGTCCGTCGGCGGCCAAGAGGGTTGGGGTGACTGGAGCCGGAAGGCCTTCCGGCCTTCTGGTACTCCTGGGTTTTCGGTTGCGAGGCAGCTCGCTCGTTCTGCGATCTATTGAGAGTGGCTTCCCAGAGCCCGGCGCCGATGTCGGGGAGGGAGGGAAGATGGCAGCAGTGGCGGCAAGCGGCCTGGTGGGGAAGGGGCGCGACATTAGCCTAGCGGCCCTGCAGCGCCATGATCCCTATATCAACCGCATCGTGGACGTGGCCAGCCAGGTGGCTCTGTACACTTTCGGCCATCGGGCCAACGAGTGGGTGCGTGTGGATGCGGCAGAGCCGTGCAGACCAGGGTTGGGGAGGCGTGGGGCGGGGGGCGTCAGTCTCGGGGTTTGAGGACCCAGTGAGGGGGAGGAGATGTTGACGCCCTGAAGGTGGGTGGATCGGGGACCTGAGGCCGAGGTTGTGGAGATGGGGTCCCGGGGGTTTGGGGAAGGGAGGCGGATCTGTGGAGCTACCTGGAGTTGGGGAAAAGACTTAAATCTCGAATGTACCCCACGCTGGGAAATCAGACCGATCGGGTACCGCACCCTGACAGCCGAAGAAAAGTAAGAACCTGATGCCTTAGGGCCGGAAGACCGATGTGCTTGAGAAAGTAAAGCTGAGTTCTGTTACAGTGGAACTGGCTATAGAGGAGGCAGGGACAGCAGACGAATAAAAGTGCAGAGTTCTGGTTTTAGAACGTCAGTCTTAGATGGGGCAAAGAGAAATCGAAACTTGATAGGAGGCGAGAAGTCTGCAAGTTGTAAACTAAGGGGAAACACCAAGAAAAGAGCCAACCTCGGCGAATAAAAGACAAAATGGAGCACGGTCTAACACTTAGAAGGAGACTGATGCTCTTGGAAAGACTGTTACACGACAGCCCACCATGTTTGACATTGGAGGCCATTTGGGAGCCAAATTATTTTAGTGCTCTTCTCAAAGCAGAGTCCCAATGAATGGTAATGGAATGAAATTTCATTGTCCTCACAATTAGAATGGGGTAGAAGCCTAGAACACTGGAGTCCTGTTGCAGGAATTGCTGCTTGTAATTTTGTAACCCACCCACGCGAATGTAGAGAGATGTAAGTTTATTTCTTTCCTCATAATGATTTTTGTCCAAATATTCATCATCCATTATATATTGTCCATTATATATCACATATATGATATCCATCATTTTAAAATAAGTTACAAAATAGTATGGAGAACCTGACCTTGATGAATGGATTTCAGATCAATTTTTTGTGTTCTTCAGGTCGGTTGTATAAACATTAAAACTTAAGGAAAACAACCATGTTGAACAAATCTAGTTTTTTAAATACCCACATTCATAAGCCTACTGATCTCCAGTATAGATCAGCAGCCTGTAGTAAAAACTCACCTGAAAATCATTAACATAAAAAAAAGACAAACAAAAGTGGGATAGAAAAACAGTTTTGGCCAAAGTTCTTAACAGAGGAAGTTCACCGGAATGGGGCAGAGAATTTTGGTCTACTCTCCTAGTGGCCAAACTCAAAAGGAGAACAGGAAGAGCTCTTTAATATTCCTTCTTATGTAATAGAAAAATGTACCACTTGATCAGGAGAAAGAGGTTATTTCCCCCTAGTTATACCTAGGTGTCAACTGAAGATTATAACAGTACTATTTACTAGCTCTCAGTCCTTAGACCAGTGGCACTCAGCTGGAGTTGATTTTGCCTGCAGGTGATATTTGGCAGAGTCTGGAGATGTTTGTGGTTGTCACACTGAGGAAGAGAGTATTATGACATCTATAGAGTAGAGACCAGGGAATGCTGAGCCTGAAAATTGCCCTACAGTGACTTCCTAGCTAGTGGTTTTCTAAGTTTTTGGTGTATCCAGATAACTCAGAGTTTTTAAAAAGTGAAACATGCCAAACCAAAACCTCTGGATAATGAGGCCCAGGCATTTGATATTGCTGAAAGTTTAATAGGTGACTCAGATGCTACATGCTCGGTAAGAGAGATTGGGGAGGATAAATTGAGACCTACTTTTTGATTATTTTAACTGAGAATAATCAAGTTAAAATAGAGGTTGCTTTTATTTTGTGTCAGATGGTGTGTGGAGTCCCCAAATTTTGCAAAACAGTACTATTTTATATTCCATTTTGGGATGAATTCCATTTTGGCACTATTTTATATTCCATTTGGGATATTTTTTAGTATTTTGAACTCTGAATTGCTTATTTCTTTAGCACTTGTTTGATTTTATAATAGAGTGTAATATTAAGTCATCAAATTGTGCTTTTAAATTTTAAGCTAAAATACCCCAAGACTGGAAACTAATGCTTTAACATACAAGTCCTCCTTAAAGGATCTAAGGAACATCTAATAAAATCTTGTTTTAACTTTTCTCCACAGCCCTAACCCTGGACTTCGCTCAGAAAGAAAAAAAAAATCTGGGTGCCCTTAGATAACTATGGAGGGACCAGGAAAATGCATGAATTTGGGCAGCTGTAATGGAACAGAAATGTACATTTTTAAAGTCCGTTTTATCCAGGTATCATAGAGCACCTGATGTTTCTTCATCAAAAGATCTGAGTAGTGTAGGCTGGTTATCTCTTTTCAATGGAGAAACTGAGACATATAATAATAAACTGATTAGCCCAATATGATCTGGCAGGAGCCCCCCTCCAGGTCCCAGGTTGTGATTACTGAATCACAACTCCTTTCTAGTAACAAACTCGTATTCTTTGTGTGTAATGCTAAATAAAAATATTAGTTTTAAGAATTGCTTGTTATAAGTTAAAGAATAATTTTAGGAGAAGTGTGCCTTTTACATTTCTGACCTTGGACTTTTAAAAACCGAAATGTGGCATTAAAGGGTTTTTTTTTTTTAAGAAAAGAGAATTTCTGTTACATCAAGGAAGAAAGGGAACAAGTCAGAAACTATTTAGTTTTATATGTGCTGATATATATAGACATCCTGATTCTGATCTCTGAGATGAAACAGTCCAAGGTCAAATACTGGAAGACCAGGAGTGTTTTGATCTTGTGGGGAGGGATCCTGACGGTACATAGAGATTCTGCAAAGTCCTAGTTCTAGCATTTGTATCTTGGCTCAGTTTCCTAACAATGTAATGGGTGATACCAAATATTTAGTTTTTACAAATTTATTCATAAATGCTTTGTGGACTTGTGAATACTTGCTGACTGAATCAGTTAAACTTTAGGGACAGCCAAAAATTTGGATACTGTTCAGGTATCATTTACGGTACTGTAGTGGCCATTTTCCCAATTAGGGTGGTGGTTTGGGTTTTGTAATTCTTAGTGCTTAAAGTACACTAAGGATATACATTTCTTCACAGATAGGAATGAATCATGTTTGTTTTCAAAGAAAGATAAGTAATGTTTCTGTATACTTTTCTCTTTGACTTGGACGTTTTTCAAAGTACAGTGGCACATGGGCCACATTTCAGAAATAAGGATATGTTTCACAGTATATTGTAGTGATTTATAGACACTTCATAATGAATCTAGTTTAAGGATTAACTCCCTGACTTTTTACCTGTGCTTGTATGTAAGGGAAAAAACAGACTAAAGTTGTTTTAACTGTTATAAATTATTTATTTATTTATTTTTGATATGGAGTTTCGCTCTTGTTACCCAGGCTAGAGTGCAATGGTGCAATCTCGGCTCACCGCAACCTCCGCCTCCTGGGTTCAGGCAATTCTCCTGCCTCAGCCTCCCGAGTAGCTGGGATTACAGGCACGCACCACCATGCCCAGCTAATTTTTTGTATTTGTAGTAGAGCCGGGGTTTCACCATGTTGATCAGGATGGTCTCGATCTCTTAACCTCGTGATCCACCCACCTCGGCCTCCCAAAGTGCTGGGATTACAGGCTTGAGCCACTGCGCCCGGCCATAAATTATTTATTTATTTTTAAGAGACAGGGTCTCGCTCTGTTGCCCAGGCTGGAATGCAGTGGCACAATCATAGCTCACTGTAGCGTCAAACTCATGGGCTCAAGCATTTCTCCCTCCTCAGCAGCTGGGGCTATAGTCATGTGCCACCACACCCGGCTAATTAAAAAAATTTTTTTTTGTAGAGATGGTAATTTGTTGCCCAGGCTGGTCTTAAACTGAACTCCTGGCCACAAGTGATCCTCCTGCCTCGGCCTCCCAGAGTGCTGGGATTACAGACATCAGCCACTGTGCCTGGCCTAAATTCTTTATTTGTAATTTCACATTCCATAATAATTAACATCTTGCAATTAAACACTTTGTTACTAAGTAATGATTTTTATAGCCATTTACTCTTGATGATAGTTTGATATAATTTGTGACATAATGGATTTTGTTTTCAAGACTCCTAGTATGATTTCATGGGCAGAGAGTATGTTGTTGAACTAAGTAAGGCAGTGGTTTTCAAACTAGCCTACATCAGAATCACCTGGAAAGTTTAATAAAACCCAGATTGCTGACCACCATCCCCAGAGTTTCTGATTCAGTAGGTTTGGGCAGGAGCCCAAGAGTTTGAATTTCTAATAAGTTCCCAAGTGATGCTGATGCCGCTGATCTGGGGATAACATTTTGAGGCCCACTGAGCTAAAGTGAATGAAAATTTGCTGAAATTACTTGAGTATGTGAGAGGATCATGCCTTGTGTGCCTTTTAAAAATTGCTGTTTTGATGTTATCCTTTTTTTTTAAAGGGTGTATTTTTCACCAAAATTACAGAGTACTTAAATATATAATGATTATGGTCATGAATATTAATTATAAAATATCAGGAGTTTAAATGGAATGCTGAAATTAAACCATGTCAGTTGCAAAAGTACATTTTAAATTCCGAATTACAGTGGGTCTGGTTACTGGTTAATAAAACATCTGGATACGTATATGTGTGTTTTTAGTATGCGTTATATTGATGAACATTATCGTAATGGCCTGGCTTCCTACCTTTGGAGAAATGGAAAAGAAATGTCAAATGAACTATCATTTTAACTTTACCACCTCTCCCAGATTTTCTCAGGCAAATTTCTGGAGTCCTATTGGTAATACTTGTCTGAGTCAACTTCAGATGACTGTAAATAGAATACACTGAGTAGTGGGTTGATTCATCTGAGAGCTCTGTGGCATGCTCTCTCTATGTAGCAGATCATCTGCGCTCCTAAGTGACTGGATATGTCAAGAGAAAATGAACCCAGAAAATAAAATGAAGGATAGTGAAATACAGACATACATGATGTCTACAGCTTGCCCTATACCCAGTGTGGTGGATGGAGAAAAGGGCAGCACACTTCTTTCTCATTAAATCCCCAGAGCACGCTTATTTTCTCGTTGTTTTAGCTCTAGGTATGTTGCTATCCCTGTATTTGGTAAAGAGAGATAATGATGGTTTATTTTATAAATGACAAAAGACTACTTCCTGCTGCCTAATCTGCAGAGCATAGAACTTGCTTTCTCCTTTTCCTGAGAACAACTCCTCATGTTGGGTATATCTGGCCTGTCGCAATTTCACCTACATGAAGTTGGATATAATTCCTGTTCTATGAGAAGTTTGTTTTATACCTTTGTGAATGAAGAGAACATACATGTCTTATGTGTTTTGTTTTTATTGTTTAGGAGAAGACTGATGTGGAAGGAACCTTATTTGTTTATACAAGGTAAGAGTGTTTTACTGTTATGAAGAAACTAACTTTTTGAAATAATATTTTAGCTCAGTTGTGTAACTGTTCTTCAGGTGCATGCAGTTTTATTTCAAAGAGAAGTAAAAGAATTAAATTTCAGTTTGAAATTATTAGTTGACATGCAGAAGGGAATACTGAATAATGTCACCTGGTATATTGCAATGAATGCTAATTTCAGAATATAATTTAAACTTCAATATAGATGAACTTAAATCATTGACTGGGTTCTGCTTAAAATAAATTAAATATTCTTTGATTCAAATGAGTGGCACAAAGTTCTTGACTATAATAAATTGGCAAGGAGCTAGAAGAACACTATGAGAAATACTAGATTGTTCAATTAATGTTTGGAAAAGGGTCTTTTCTCCCACCCCTGACTCTTTAAAAAAGCATGGTCCAAAATTGAGGCTGTCTTTCAGTCCTCCATTGTCCAGTTAATAGAGTATGTTTCAGGATAGATTTAATAAAACTCATGTTTTTAGTCATTTCTTGTTATCAGATATTATTAATATCAAATCACAAATGCATTATGTATATTGGCTCAATAAATAAACTTTACATTCAAATAAACATTCACGTAAAATGTCATAGCCAAAGGTCATCACCTTCAGTGAGGGTACAAAGATGAAATTCAGAGGCCTAATAGAAACTTTTCTAGTGGTATCAGTTTCATTGAGGAGACAGGAAATATACACACACGTGTATTTTCTTTCTACATATATTCATGTTTACAGTAAGCTACAGTACAGAATACAGTATCCTGAGTCCCAGTGGATAGATTCTGAGCAATGAATGGGCTGCTGTAATCGTGGAAACCTTTATAGCATGCTTGTCCAACCTGTGGCTCATGGGATACATGTGGCCCAGGATGACTTTGAATGTAGCCTGACAGAAATTCATAAACTTTCATAAACATTATGGGATTTTTTTTAAAGCTCATCAGCTATTGTTAGTGTTAATATATTTTATGTGTGGCCCAAGACAATTCTTCCCCTTCCAAGGTGTCCCAGGGAAACCAAAAGATCGGACACCCCTGCTTTATAGAGTGATGGGTCTTGAGTTGGGCCTCAGGAATAAGGTAGAACTTAGCTTGCATAGAGGAGAGGGAAGGCAGTCTCAACAGGAAGAACGGCAAAAGCAGAGGCACAGAACGTGGTCAGTTAAAGGGACAGTGAGGAAAATGACTGTCGTGCAGAGGCTTTATATTGGTTTGCAGTTGTTAGCAAGGGTGAGATTTGCCGGCTTGGAATGGCAAACTAAAGATTTTGAGATTTCTTTTTCTCTTTTTTTGAGATGGAGTCTTCCTCTGTCGCCCAGGCTGGAGTGCAGTGGCGCAATCTCCCCTCACTGCAACCTCCACTTCTGGGTTCAAGCGATTTTCCCACCTCAGCCTCCCAAGTAGCTGAGATTACAGGTGCCTGCTGCCATGCCCAGCTAATTTTTGTATTTTTAGTAGAGACAGGGTTTCACCATGTTGGCCAATCTGGCCTCGAACTCCTGACCTCAAGTGATGGCCTGCCTTCGCCTTCCAGAGTGCTGGGATTACAGGCATGAGCCACTGCGCCTGGTGAGTTTTATTTTCTTAGCAGTAGGAAGTTATTGAAGGCTTATGAACAGGAGAGTAATAGAGGAAATGTGTAGGGAAAGTCAGTGTTTTAACGTCATGGGGATGCACTGGTTCTAGAAGACACGAGTCAGGACAGTGAGAGGATTATTGCAGTGGAGTAGATATGAAATGATGAGAGTTTGGGTTAGAATAATAGAAACTGAACTGGAAAGAGGATTGCAATGGTGAAATTTTTAAAATGACAATATTTTGAACATGGAAGCTTGAGAATGACAGAAGCGTTGGTGGAATAGAAAGGCAGGAGATCAAGAATGTGGTTTGAGGATCAGCCCTCATTTTACTTTGAAGTAATTATTTGGAGTGGTAGCAGGACATTCGGGTGGAGGTGTCCAGCCCCTCAGAGTAGGGGCAGTGGTGGAGAGGGTTTGGAGTTGTCTGAGGTATTTTGGTAGTTGAAGCCATGAAAGAAAAGCTGTTCCCTAAAGGAGTGAGTATAAAGAGGAAACCGATGAGGGTTTATGGTTAGGTTTGAGGGCCAGCAAGGATACAGAGGAGTCAGCTTGAAAGATAAAAGCAGGACTAGAACACCACAGAGAGGCCTTTGGGGGACAAAGTGCATGCATGATGGAGGTCTGTGTGTGCTGGGGAGGAGGGAGCTCAGCTGCAGGGGAGGAAGATCTGTTCCAGTGGAGGCAGCACTGGGAGCGTGAAGAAGGCCAGCACACTAGGTGACGAGGTCAGGTTCTTTACAGTCTCAGAAAAGCAGTGGAGTACCCAAGAACCCTTGGCATATTAATCTGCATGATGTTGCCAAACATCCAGAGCACCAGAGGATGCCCCAAGGCAAGTTTCTTCAGTGGAGTATGAGCACTCTTGAGGATTCTGAAGTTCACCACGGAAGGCACAGGGTTGAACTGTACTGTGTGCCATGCATGCAGGGTGCACTGTCATGCATTTCTCCTTGGAGAAGTGACAGAAAAGATGTATTAGTATGTATTAATGATTGATTTGGGGAACTTTTAGTAGAGTTGTTTTTTTTTAACTGTGGAAGAGTAACAGATCATACAGATATTTTCTTTTTTGCACCCAAACCAAATATAAGTTTGTATTTTCAAAGATTTCTTACTATACTCCATGTCTCTAATAGAGCTCTGAATTAAACAAAACATGAAGTTGAAAACAAAATCCTTCCCTGTTTTTTAGTCTCTTCTCCAAATCTAACTCCTCAAGAATAGGATGCTTCCCTTATCCCCTGCAAAACAAAAACCTCCCAGATCCTAGTATGTTGAGGTCTTTCTTCAGTAGAGAATTACAAAAAGCATGTAAAACTCAAGGTGGGAGGGGGGTTTGGTACAGAGAATGGAGCTGGCGGTGATATATTTTGACTTCTCTTACAGAAGTTGCTCTAGAGCAATTGGCACATTTATCCCCTGGGCCTATTTTCTAAATTATGAGATGGTATGTACTATTAAAGAGGGGAGATCCTGTTGTGATAATGAAATATATGAAGAATCAGATTCTCATTCTTGTATGAAAACACTTAATCCCATTTAAAAAATCATTTATTTCCTCCCATGCCTTCCTTTCTGTAATAGTTCATAGAGACACCCACTGGTAATTTCTGAATCTGACACTTCCAGAGGACCCCCTAACAGAGCTCTTTGGGAGTTCATTTTTATTCTTCCTCTGAATTTAAGTTGAAATGATTACCATGGTTATTTCTGGTGTTGGTTGTATGCTTACCACCACTTTACCCCTTTGTAAAAAAAGCTAGGCAAGGATCGCCGCCCATCAATTTTAAAATTGGAGGTTTCAGAAGAAAATCCTGGCGGTGGTTATGTAGCTGTGTTCCTTGATCAGTATCAAATGGAGGTAACATAAAACTAAGACATAAACAACTTGTCTTCCTGTTGCTCATAACATTTCTGTGGGTTTGTTAATAACAGCCCTAGCACCCTCATTTAAAGTAAGTAAATGAATTCTGCTTGCTTCAGCTTCAGTGTGTAAGTTTGCAGTGTTTCATTTGTCACCAGAAGTGGCACAGTTGAATTACTATATGGCTGTCACCCAAGGGTAGACAAATGCACATGTAGTTAGAGTTTATACTCAGTATAATTTGGATTCTTTCTGCCTGGCAGAGTAGACATTCAAGGTTTATTGAGTGAAATGAAAATAAAACGTCACTAAATGTCACATTTTTATAGAGAAAAACTTTTATAGTGGTTTATCTATGTAGCTGTTTGCTTTGCATTGAAGAAAACAAAGTGTCTGCCCTTTGCATTGTTATATAAACTTCTAGTTCAGGCTCTGTAACCTCATTAAGTTCATTGTCCAGAGTTGCTTCATATCACTAAGAGATTTTGCAGCCCTCAATTTCAGACTAACACTTAACATTTTCTATGAAAATTTTCTTCATATAATTGTGATGTATACTTTAATATTAACAACCAAGATTGTTTAAAATATCTTTAATTAATTTAACTTTTAAAAAGTATTCTTTAAAAGTCAGTAATGTTTTAAAAAGTAGTTACTCTGTCTTAAAGGAATTTACAACCTAGGTAGAGAAATAAACAACTGTACACACACACACCCCACAAGTAAGAAAGTGTAACTCAATTTTAGGAAACAAGTCATCATGACAGTGCTGCTGCATTATGGGAATTAGTCTATAATGATGCCAGTGGTAAAGAAGCATGTGTACAGGCTGCTTGTATAAAGCTGTATATACAGAGATACATCAGAATATACTTATGCTGAAAATATCGCATACTAAGCAATTTGTCTATTGATTTTCCCCTGACCCCTTGTGATTTTTAGGTCTGCTTCTCCAAAGCATGGATTCACCATTATGAATAGGCTGAGCATGGAAAATAGGACAGAACCTATTACTAAAGACTTGGATTTCCAACTCCAGGACCCTTTCCTTCTCTACAGAAATGCCAGATGTGAGTCTTTCTTACTACATTGGGTAGTTTTACTTCTGAAGTTTGGCCAAGTGTATGCCATTGTGTTTGAATTTGGTATCAGCGGCTATGGGGGGTGGTCTGTATCTTAACAAATGCTAATGTTTAGGAAATGCATGCCTAATTGATGGAATAGATTCTTCCCCAGAGGAGTTTAAGTGAATATGAATATGATGAAATAAATCTTTCAACCCTGTCTTTTGAGGCTTTACCAATTTGTCATGTGAACCCATTGCTGATCTTAAGCCTGAACAGGGCTGGGTGAGGCAAGTTCTTAGTGTGGAGACTACAGAGAGGCACGTAGGTGGCGCCCTGAATGAAGAATTAACGAGTCTGCTATAGCACTTTTTCTTATGTGTCACTTCTGGCTGAGTGTGCGGACAAAGTGTTCGAGGGCCTGTACTGTAGAAGTGCCATCTTCTGAATACAAGTAAATAAAAAATCAAAGTCCAAAAGTTTCTATCAGTCATTAAGAAGGTCATAACCCTTTGTAATACAGAAGTCGTAGTAGGTAACTAAATAGTCCTTGTCAGATTTGAAATGAAGTAGCCGTGCCTTTCTAATACTACATTTTACTCTCCGCTTGTGTTGCACTGCTGGTCAGCCCAGAGGAAGATTGCTGAAAATATGCAGTTGCAGGGACATCTCCACCCACAGAAAACAAGAACATAATACTAAATAGATACTATGCGCGTGCATGTGCGCGCATGCACCTTAGGCTTTGTGGACAGCTTTCATAAAGACCTTGCAGTGAAGAAATGTTTCTTTACATTTTTCATTCTACTCTTTGAGCTCAAGACACAAGAATTTGCCTACCTTATGCTATTCAGTGTAATTTTAATAATGAGTGTAGTATGAATATTTGAAATTTTAACCCCAATGAGTCATTAAGATGCATTAAAATGATGCGATATGTAACTGTCCAAATGGGTGGTCATCCTCTTATTTAGAGAATACATTTTTATGAGGTAAAAAATAAAGCTATTGAAACTATAATATGACTTACTAATGGCAGGTCCTGTGAAATGAAAACTTTTGCAATATAGAAAAAGATTGTGTTTTCTCCTCTTGTTTCTTTGATGAAAGGTATGCTTTATCAATTGTAGTTTATTACTAAAGACTTGGATTCCCAACTCCAGGACCCTTTCCTTCTCTACAGAAATGCCAGTTGGAATTGTTTATAGTTCGAATTGTTTCGTGCACTTAGAGTTATGTCAGGTTTTTTTTTTTTTTAGATTGTTAGATTCTATGTCAAATTAACATACAACTTAAGTCCTAATAAAATAACTACAAAGTGACCTATAATCAGCATTTTTGGTTGCTTTTATTTTCGTCAAGTATATGGTCTGGTCATTCATAGGGAATATTTTATTTTAAATTCTTATTATGTATCACATATTAACTACTATACCAATATAAAAACACAAGCTCTCTTTCATGCATCAGTTTTAAAAATAACCTTCCCAAGTCCCACAGGGTTTATCTGATAGGAAATACTATTTGAATCTAATAAACATGTGTGAAGCCACCTTGGTTCTAAGCATATGCTGTCCCGTATGATAGTTACCAGCTACTGTGGCTGTTTAGCACCTGAAATGTGGCTAGTCTGAATGGAGCTGTACTGTCAGTGTCAAATAGGCACCAATTTTCAGACAGGACAAAAAGAAAAAGAATGTTTTAAAAAAACCCTCAATTATTAATCATTTTATATTGATTAAAATGTTGAAATGACGGTTTGGATAAATTGGACAAAATAAAATATAATATTAAAATTAATTTCACATGCTTCTTTGCATTTTTTAATTTAAAATTGCATATGTGGCTCATGTTCATCGTTCACCTTATATTTCTGTTGAAGGGCACTGTTCTATTTTCATTTATTTGTTTTTCATATTTTCATTTATGTTTCCACATTTTATAATTATTTTTATTTTACTGTATTTAATAATCACAACTTTATAGAGTAGACATTTTCACTGCCGTTTTGCAGATGAGAAAACTGAGACTTAGTGAGGTGACAAACTGTAAAAACCCGCAGATTCAGATTTCACTTCCATTGCTTTTTCCATACCACCTGTACTGCTCTCTCTACTATGAAACATGGATGGAAATTAAAGGCAGCCTTTGGGATGCATATTAAAATGCTTCTAGTGAATTTCCATGCAAAAGAAATAGAATTAGTTGAACAACAAAGAGTGAAAGGGAATAGATCTATTTACTTTTCTGGATTCATTTTGCTTTTTTGTTTTTCCCTCCTTTATATCTGATACTGATTGCCTTTGCAGCCAGAGTCATTTGGTTTTAGGTTATTTGCACAAGCCTTTTCAATCCCTGGCAGTCAAAGGTACACAGAAGGGTTTACCACAGGTGCCATCAGAGTCTCCGATACCTCTGAAATGTTTTCATACAATTCAAATACGTTATATAATAATCACGTATGGTTTATATGTTCTTTAGTGGCATATAAACCATACGTGATTATTATATAACGTATTTGATTGGTCATTCTTTGGGCAAGAAACTCAGCTTCACTCAGGATTGTTTTTTTAAGAAGGCTCTGTTTCCTCAAGATATTCTATATAGTCAAGAATCTATATGGTCTTGGCATTTCACATTTGTTTGTGTAATTCATAAGCCATATTTGGGCATTTTAGGTAGACAAAGGTAGAACTGATAGAGGTTTGTGGTAAGATTTTTTTTTTTTTTTTAACAGTTGTTTAGATTCATTTGGAGAGAAAAAAATCCCTTTGTTGAATTAGATGAATAAAATAAAGAAATGAAATTCCCAAACTATTCGGCCAAAAAAAGATGCTTGTTAGGTAAAGTTACTTCATTCAGACACAGAATAGATTACTATAGAAAAGGGTCTGTACATTGTGTAAAGCGTGTAAACGTTGTTATGATGGGGTTTGACGTGTATGAACTTTAAAAGTAAATAAGATAGCTGTTAAAGTTAGGGCAAAAATTTCATTTATTCAGTCAAACATTTACTGGGCACTTACTGTCTGCCAAGCACTGTGCTCAGGCTTTATATGGGTTATTCCTTAACCTTTTCTTGGAAATACTGTTACTCCTCTTTTACAAATGAGAATACTAAGGTTAAAGGGATTAAGTAATACACTGTGGGCCATTGACTGTTTTGAGATGGAAACACCATTTGAACCAAGAAACTGTAACTTCAAGACCTGAGGCATAAACATTGGTATAAAAAAGAACCAAATGGAAAAAGTGGTATGATGGTGAGCACTAGCATATGTAGGATTATTTCTATAGGAAAATCCATTCAAGAATAAACCTGTATAGATGCCAAGAATATGATTTCCTTAGCAGCAGGGCAGAATACTTCTAAAGCCCATTTGTATTGAAAAATCATTTGTAAAGGTAGGATTTTCTTTAAGTTTTTTTTAAGTATGTACGGTAATATTTAACCTTTGAAGCCTTCATAGCCATGTTACTAAGTCTTAGTTCTGGAGTGCTCATGTAGCTTCTCTCCTTCTTTTCATCCCCACTTCTATTCCAGTTCAGGCTTTCATTATGTGTTACTTGGGATGTTTCATAACCCCTCATAGCAAAGAGGGATTGAACTTCTGGCATCATCGAAAATAGACTAGGTTCACTACAATATATCTCTCCCACTGGTTACAACTAAAAGTTCTCGTCAGATTATAAAAGCAACTAACTAGGGGCTCTGAAAGTAAATGATAACAGACACACTGAAGAGAGCAATCAGAACTTGAAGAAAAGCTGGTGTGGCGGTGAGCTCCTGGATTTATTCTTTCCTCTTTTATTGACTGGCTTTGACATGCACCAAGTCACAGAACTCTGGGGAAAAAAATAACAAAGCCTGAGAGAAGCTCTTCTTTCTAAAAACTTCCCCCGTTCCTTTCCCTACCTCCCCTTTTCTCTTCTATCCCTACCCTGAAGCCAGTTGCAGGGAAAGCTGAACTGCTGCTGTGGTGGTCATGGTGGTGGCACAGCCACCTGAAAAATCCCAAGAAAGAGGCTTTCTCTGCCAGAGGAACTGGGAACAATGGCCCCTGTGGTCTGAAGAGTGTGAGGAAAATCCCATCATATATTTTTATTTTCTCTTGTTGTACAGACTGCCTGACAGTGTGAGAGTCTAAAACCCTGAGATAAACTCTGACTTTGTAGCTGGAAGACTGGGAAAAAAGGCCTCTGAGAGCTGGCGAGTGGGAGTGATTCTAGAGGAGGGAGCTTGATAAGGAGATCTAATTCTTTCTAGGAACTGATGCAAATCCTGGGCTCACCTGTGAGCTACATACATGCAACAAAACCAAGGAAATAACAACTTACAATATAAACCATTATTCCAAATTTCAGACTAACTGGCATATATATATAGGGTAGACATAAACACCTTTGAAAATGGAACTGACATGGGAAGCATCATCCACAGAAGGCAAGACAGAACTTCTTATGTAACCCTGAGTTGATTGGTGAAACCCTGTCTCTACTAAAAATACAAAAATTACAAAAAATAAAGTGGTAGACTTACCTAAGTTCAGCCATATCAGTAGTTATATTACATGGAAATGGCCTAACATACTGATTAAAAAACAGAGATTGCCAGAGTGCATTAAAAAAGCATATGCTTTCTACACAAAATCCATTTTAAATGTAATAATATAGATAGGTTAAAGGTAAAAGGATGAAGAAAGATATACCATGCAAATACTAATTAAAAGAAAACTGGGGTGTCTAGATTAATATCAGACAAAGGAGATAAATTTATACAAAAGGCATAATAATTATTAATGTGTATGCACCTAACTATAGAGCTTCAAAGTGTGTGAAGCAAAAAGTGATAGAACTGAAGGGAGAAGTTTTTTTTTTATTTTGCAATTACACTTGAAGACTTCAGTGGTCCACTTTCTATAATCAATAGAGCAAGAGGACAGAAAACAGCAAGCAAGTATATGGAAGACCTGAACAACACTATCAACCAACTCAACACAGTTGTC